CTTGGCTGTCCTGGAACTCACTCTGTAGACCAGGTTGGCCTCCAACTCACAGAGATCCGCCTGCCTCTACCTCCCGAGTGCTGGGATTAAAGGCAAGTGCCACCACCGCCCAGCTAAATGGTGACTTTGGGGGATTTAAGTATATATTTTTTCTTTGAAAATTTCATGCATGTATTTCAGTTACATCTACCCACCATTCCCCTGTATACTACCAACACATGCTTCTCCCAACTTCATGTCATATTCCACCCCCTCCCCTCCCATCCCTTCCCCTCTCCTCCCCTCTCCTCTGTTCTACTCTGCTCTCCTTATAACTAAGTCCAGTCAGTACTGCCAGTGTGCGCATGGGTGTGGGGCTATCCACAAGAGCTTGAGCAGCATACCAGTGGCCACACTTCCAAAGAAAAAGGACCCTTTAAAGTTCTCTTCCGCGGCTGGAGAGATGGCTCAGCAGTTAAGAGCACTTACTCTCTCTTCTCTCGGCAGACTTAGGTGTGGTTCCCAGCACCCACATAGGGCAACTCACGACCACCTGGAACTCCAGTTCCAAAGGATCCAATGCTCTTTTCTAGACTCTGTGGGCATGGCATGTGTGCTAGTTTGAATGTACTTGGCCCCTGCACTGGCTGGTTTTGTGTGCCAACTTGACACAAGCTAGAGAATTCAGAGGAAGGAGCTTCAGTTGAGGAAATGCCTCCATGAGATCCAGCTGTAAGGCATTTTCTCAATTAGTGATCAATGGGGGAGGACCCCACCCACAGTGGGTGGTGCCATTGTTGGTCCTGGGTTCTATAAGAAGGTGGACTGAGCAAGCCAGGGGGAGCAAGCCAGTAAGCAGCACCCCTCCATAGCCTCTGCATCAGCTCCTGCCTCCAGGTTCCTGCCCTGTGTGAGTTCCTGTCCTGACTTCCTTCAATGATGAACACTAATGCTGAAGTGTAAGTCAAGTAAACCCTTTCCTCCCCAACCTGCCTTTTGGTCATGGTGTTTTGTCACAGCAATAGAAACCCTAACTAAGACACCCCCATAAGTTCATAGAGAATGGCACTATTAGGAGGTGTGGCCTTGTCGGAGGATGTGTGTTACTATGGGGGCGGGCTTTGAGGTCTCTTTTACTCAAGCGCCCCTTAATGTGACTTTCAGACCATTACCTGTTGCCTGCAAGATGTAGGACTCTCAACTACTTCACCAGCACCACATCTGCCTGCACATCACGATGATCCCCACCATGATGATAGCTGCACCTCTGAACTGTAAGTGAGCCACACCAACTTTATAGGAGTTGCCCCATGATGTCTCCTCACAGCAATAGAAACCCCAACTAAGACCACATGCAAATGGCGCACAGATATACATACAGGAAACCATCCCTACACATAAACATCTTCTTTGAAAGAATCACTTGGAGAATCGGGCAGGAGAGGTGGCTCAGCAGTTAAGACTGTTTGCTGCTCTTGCAGAGGACCAGGGTTCAGTTCTCATCATCCACATTGGGTGACAACCATCTGGAACTTTCAGAGGAAGATTTTTAACCCATTATTTCATTAAATATTTATGTAATTTGTTTCTTGAGACAGGGTTTCTCTATGTAGTCCTGGTTGTCCTGGAACTCACTCTGTAGACCAGGCTGGCCTCAAACTTGGAGATCTGCCTGCCTCTGCCTCCCAGGTGCTAGGACTAAAGGTCTGCACTGCTACCACCCAGCTCTTTTAAATATTTATAGAAAAATTGTGAAGGATGGAAGGTTGTGAAGCTTTTACCAGCAGCGATCTTGCAGTGATCTGAATCTGGGTGGTCTCTGATGCTATCTATGCCTTTCTTTGTCTTGAGACTGGCCTGGAACTTGCTGTGTAGATCAGGCTGCCCTCAAACTCCTAGAGAATCACCTGTTTCTGCCCCCAGAGGGCTGGCGTGTGCCATCACACCTGGCTCTGCTGCCTTTTGATTTCCCCCCTGACCCGTGTGAAGGGCAGGGCAACTTGCTTCTTGGAAACTTTAGTGCATCTATTACTTTGCCTTCTCTCTTTTTCCTCTTCATCTTCCTCCTCCTCCTTCCCTCTCCCTTCTCTTTAAGCAAGGTCCCAGTTTACTGCAGACTAACCTGGAACTCATGCTGTAGCTCAGGCACAGCCGGAACACATAAGGACCCTCCTACCTCAGCCCCTGAAGTGCCTGGCCTTTGGTTTTGTTTCCTGACAGTTTGACTATCTAGTTCTGGCTGGGCTGTAACTCATGGTAATCCTCCTGTCTCTGCTTCCCAAGCACCGGCATCCCAGGCATGCGCCACTCCTCCCAGCTCTTTGACAACATTCTTGGGGTCCAAGCACGTCTGAAGTGAGGACAGGAAGTTCAGAACAACCCTAGGGGCTTCCAGATCTTCCCATTCTGAGAAGCTAACAGAAGGGAAGACAGGACAGTCCTTCTCCAGCAGAGATGACCGGGACACCTGTGCTGCTCTGAGTGGGATCAGCATCAGCATCAGCACCATCCGGGGACTTCTTAGAAACTAGCGGGCTCCAGGCTGAGGTGCCATTCAGTTAGTAGGATGCTCATCCCATGCTGCATTCCATCGCTAGCACCGCATAACCTGGGTGTGGTGGCATTTGCCTGCAATCCCAGCACTCGGAAGGGGTAGACTGGAGGAATCGGGAGTTTGAGGTCACTCTCAGCTACATACGGAGTGTGAGGCCAGCCTGGCTTTACAGGACACCTCCAAAACAATAAAAGAAACTCCTGAGTCCATCTTCTTTTCGAGACAGGGTTTCTCTGTGTAACTTTGCACCTTTCCTGGATCTCACTCTGTAGCCCAGGCTGGCCTCGAACTCACAGAGATCCACCCGGCTCTGCCTCCCAAGTGCTGGGATTAAAGGCGTGCGCCACCACTGCCTGGCTTCATCCACATCCTTTTAAGAGTAGGGCCAACAATCTTTTGGAGAGTTGTGTGACACACAAAGTTGGGGGGGCCTCTGTGGTAATGTAAAACTTTAAAATACTTTGAAAGGCAGGGCATGGTTGAACATGCTGCAAGCCTTTAATCCCAGCACTCGGGAGGCAGAGGCAGGCCGATCTCTGACACAGAAAAACTCTGTGACAGTCCCATCATATCAGAGACATCACGAATGGGCCCTTAGGAAGGGTCGTCTATGAAACCCAGAGAGAAGCCTCATTAAGAGGGAGAGCTTAAAGAAAAAGAGAGCTGTCACAGGTAGAGTGAGGGGGCGGGGCCCTGAAGAGGAGCCTTTAGAGCAGCGGTTCTCAACCTGTGGGTCGAGACCCATTTAGTAAACCTCCATCTTCAAAAATATTGACATTATGACTCATAACAGCAGCAAAATTGCCTGGTCTACAGTGTGAGATCCAGGACAGCCAGGGCTACAGACAAAGGAACCCTGTCTCGAAAAAAACAAACAAGCAAACAAAAAATAAACAACAAAAAAAAAAAACCACAGTAGCAAAATTACAGTTATGGAATAGCAACTAAAATAAATTTATGGTTGGGGGTGATTACAATACGAGGCACTGTATTAAAGGGTCGTAGCATTAGGAAGGTTGAGAACCGTGGCTCTCGAGAAATGCCTCTGAGCAAAGGGAAGTATCTGACAGATTTCCTATCCTTTCAGGGGTGGGCAGTGGGAAGTTGGACAGCAGGTAATTAAGTTCAGTATCATCTGTGACAAGGAGCATGGAGGAGCCAGGTACTACGTAGGACCATAAATAAAAAGGTGTGAAAAACCCACAGCACAGTACAGCACAGCTTTTTAACGCATAACCTTTCCCAAGGCTTTTATTTCCATAGAGATTCAAATATAACTAAAAGGATGGGATGGGATGGCCTCCTCGGTGTTGAGGGATCTAGGTTCATCTCGTGCTTTGTGTTATTGTTAGGCAGTACCTCCTGATCTCTTCGTCTTTGTAAAGGCAGTGGGTTGGACATCTACCCGCACGGTCAACCTTAAGCCTGCTCCTGGCATCTTCTGGAGCTCACAGGAGTCTCACACATTCATGACCCAGTGTAATCATAAACGTCTCTACTTGACTGGTGTGAACAACGGCACCACGTTTGGGGGAACTTCCCGAGGTCTATCTGACAGGCGTACATCCAGCTAGAATGACTCGGTTTTTGTTTTTCTGAGACAAGCTTTCTCTATTTAACAGTCCTGGCTGCTCTGGAACTTGCTCTGTAGACCAGGCTGGCCTTGAACTCAGAGATCTGCCTGCCTCTGCCTTTTGAGCGCAGGAATTAAAGGCGTGCGCCACCACCACCTGGCCTTAAAATGACTCTTGATGCAAGGCTTCCACATGCCCCCTTTCTGTGTTCTTTGGGTAGGCAAATACACAAGAGAAAAATCACATGCCCATTTAATTAAATGTTTATTCAATGAAAGGATGTATAAAAACTTACAAATCTGAAACTCAACTATACATAGAGGAGGAGGATGGGATGTTCAGTTTCTAACATACACGTACGGTATAGCTAGGCACTAGCCCCGCCCCTTGCCCCTCAGACCTCACTTCTGGCTCCTGTTGCATCCTGTGAGACCGTTTTTTCTTATTGGCCCAAGGAAAGATTAATGAACAACTTTTAATGTTGCTAGGCCAGTGGGGGAAATTCCAGGTGTTAAAAAAACACTGGAGGATACACATCAAAATCAATTGTTTTTCCTCCAAGAAGAAATTAGATTATTATTATTTTTGTCACCCTGATTTCTCTTTGTTATTTTTGATGCTTTAGTAGATGTCACCAGTGAACTATGGGCATTGCATTTTAACAAGGTGTCTCTATGTAGCCCAGGCTGGCCCCAAACTCCCAATTCTCCCGTGTTCACTCCCCACCCCCTCCCCTAGCACTGGGGTTATAGGTGGGCACCACCAAACCGGGCAGCATCGACTTTTACACTCATCAAAGCCACACTTTCTGCTCACAGCTTCCCCCTGTAAGATGCGTACTTCTATAGTCCCGTCCTGGCAGCGCACACACTGGTTTTACAGGCAGCTGGCTGGCCGACGCACGCTCACCACTGGCCACTGCTAGGAAATGGCATGTCACTGCTGTTCAGAAAGACTTTCTATAGAACCGTATTTTCAAAGCCGATTTTAAAACAAGCGTGTCGGAAACCAAAACCCGGCATCTTCTTGTTCATCCTGGGAAGAGGCCAGCATCAATTGGGTAAAGCGTGTGCATCAATTCTCCCGTGTGTAGCAAGCATCCGTGTGTTCGCTCACATACAAACTCACAGCCCGTCAGGTTTGATCCAAAAATGAAGATTGCCATCACATTATTACTCTTTTTGCATTTTGTTAAAGTCGACTTCTTAACTAGTGATTTTCCTTAACTGGACATAATCTCAAAGGATACATTCCGAAATCAGACACCTAGAGGGCTAATTTTAAAAACATCTGCTTGGGTTTCAAGTTTCCCCACACCTTCTAGATTTGCATAGCAGAGCCCAGCTTTATCTCTAAGACGCGTGCTGTATTTTCTGACTTTGTTTCTTTGAGAAGGAAGACTTATTACCCAGGGACAGTCATAATTTTAGCTTACCAAATTATATTCTAGTTGTTTTATTATATACTCTTAATTATTTCCAAGTAGGTTTTTAAAATAATCTAAAACTTCTCAAAACCTATTTCTTTATAAGTACTACTGACCATTATCCTTCCAATATCCCCTGAATTAAAGTAAATATAGTCCAGGTTTCTAATGCACAAAGCCTTGCGGAGATGGGGCTGGGAGAATAAGGGGCCAGGGAAGGAGTGGGGCCCGTTTGTATCATGCCATGGTGAAACTGTCCCGAATTGGGGTGGGGATGGGGGGGTGGGGGGGGTGGGGAGGGGAGAAGGTTCTTTGTAAAAATGACAGTTTTTAAAAAGACAAGTAACATTCAGTCTAGTAATACAGTTTCCTGTTCCTTTTTGATGGAAGCTAACACGGGATGGTCAGATTCAGTTACTTCCGAGTCCCCACCGCCCAGGAGGACTGAGCGGCCCTCGTCCAGGGCGAACACGTCCGAGTTCTGGTTCTGGCAGGAGTGTTTGACCACCTCGTTGGGGGTGGAGAACGTCTTGTCGCAGAGGTTGCACTTGTAGGGCTTATTGGCCTGCACCAGCATGTTGTCCATCTGGCTGCCCTCCTCGAAGGTGCAGAGCTCCAGCGTCTGCTTGTCCACCATGGTGTAGGTGTCGATGCTCTGGTTGAGGCACACGTGGCGCGCGGCCTGGTTGGCCCTGCAGAAGCTCTTGTCGCAGGTGCTGCACTTGAAGGGCTTGCCCGTGTGGATGTACATGTGCTCGCGCCAGTGGCTCTTCTGGATGAACTTGCGGCCGCAGATGGTGCACTCGTACTTGCGCCTCTTCACCTCCCTCTCCTGGTCCGCCTGCTCCAGGTTGTCAATGTCCGCGATGTCCGAGGGCGGCGGTGTCTCCGACTGTTGCTGCCCGTCGATGATGGGGGAGTCAGAGATGTGCTGCAGCTCGCTGTCGCTGATCATCCCCGCCTCGGGCACTTCCAGAGCATCCTTGCCCAGGTCGGCCGCGTTGCTGCAAAGCGACAGGGGCCCGCGGCCCTCCCCGGGAGGGCCGGCCGTGAAGGGCACCCCGGTGTGGATCTGCAGGTGCTCGCGCAGGCTGCTGCGCAGCGTGAAGCGCCGGCCGCACAGGTGGCAGGCATAGTACTTGGGGAAGCTCCCGTTCCTCTTCATGATGCTTGGCTTCACGTGGGCGATGGTGAGGGAGGACGGCTGCTCGTCCGAGGAGGAGGCCTCCAGGTTGGTCTCCTCCCCAGGAGGAGGGGGCGGGACAGGCGTGGAGACAAGTTCGGGTGACAGTGAGGTCTGCAGGGGGTCGGCGGGAGCCATGTTTGTCCGATTCACCTGTGCCAGGTTGGCAGTCAGCTGCGAGAGCTGCGAGGTCTCGGGCACCGGCTCCTGGTTCATCCTGGGCGCCTGAGGCCGAGGCTCCCGCCCCAGTTTCTCAGGCCCTATGTTCATCTTGGTGGCTTGTCTCAGCTGGTGGTCTGCGATCTGAATGCCGTACAAAGACGAGGCCAGCGGGAAGACTTGCTCGGGATGGGAAAAGGTGCCTTGGCTGGCGAGGCTGGCTTCCTGGATGAGGGGGTACGCGTGCAGGAATTTGATCCCTTGCTCCAAACGCACGGGGTCGATCAGCTGTGGGGCCATCTTCCCGGTGTACATCAGGTGGAGCAGGTAGCTGAATATGTCAGGCTGTATGTCAGTGGGTTTCAGACGAACGCATTCACTGAAAAACAGCAGAAAGCCATGAAGAAACACCAGCCTCTGACTAAATGGAAACAAAGCCTGAAGAACAACTAAGACCCTTGGAAGAACACTTCCGTGGAGTCACTGATCAGGCCTACCCAGCTTCAGTACGGACCCAGTTCAGAGCTCAGCAGCCCGTGGGAGGTAAGCAAAAGAATTGCATCTCCTTAGAAAGCCTTGAGAGCTGTAGGTTGACGCATGCGTGGTTGCTAACAGAACACCACACAGGAGCAGGGCACTCAAACTGTCGGAGGGACTCGGCTCTCTGAGGGCGCGACCTCTCCAGCAAGGGGATGCGGCCACCTCCTCAGTGTCACCAGGTGGCAGTGGAACGCGGTGCGGACAACAGTCTTCACCAATGTCAGCATCCCAGGGGTTTACAGCCCTTCTACCAACTGCCCAGTAGTCCTTCCTTTACAGGTGCCAAGGAGGCCCAGCGGTAGCACTCCGCTCACCTCAGGGTTGGTGAGCGGCAGGGCTGGGACGTGAACCTAGGCCTACTTAATTCCAAAGCCCCACGGAGAGCAATAAAACAGCTCTGTGGGGAGATGCTGGGTTTCACTAGTCCCATCTGAGTGGTGGCAAGCCACCCAGTCTACCTTTCAGACTGACATCACAAACAGCACCCTCCCCCACAAACAGCAATGGTGAAGAGGTGGGGACTCTCCTCAGACCATCGCTCCGAAAGAAGTTCTCATGTATGCTGAGCCCAATGAGATACGCGTCTCTGTAGTACAGGAGGCATACAGTATCATCCACGGAGTGAATATATTCTATGCATTTTCAGAAAGAGTTTCCTTGAATGCCTTGGAATTGACAGCAATTTTGATTATATAAACTCTTGACATTAAAGATCTTTTTTGCAGATTTAGCGATTACAATTATGTTCATTGTTTAAATCAATTATCTTACCATTCTAAAATTTTTACAGTATACTCAATCTTCTAAATTTACCATTTTATTTTTTTTTTTAAATAAAAACAGATGGGCTAGGCATGATATATAATCCCAGCACACAGGAGAATGAGGCAGGAGGATTATCTGAACTTCAAGGCTAGCCTAGCTACAGTGAGAGACACTGTCTAAGGAAGAAGAAGAAGAAGTAGTGAAAGAAAAGAGGAAAAGCTAATGTGATTTTTAGACGGACTTCTGACAGGACATATATGAATAATTACTGGACAGGTATCCAGGTGTATTTCATGAAGACTTAAGACTCCATGCACTGGTCACATTTAACTACGAAACACCAAAGTCAAACAGCACAAAGCAGACACAACTGAGCATCCACCTACAGCACAGGAGCGGGGATTCCAGCCTGACAGTGTGTTCTTAAAAAAGAAAAAAGAGAGACACAGATTGCTAGATTGTTCATATCTTTAGTCTGTCCCTCTGAGACAAGGTTTTCCTGTGCATCCTATGTAGATCAGGCTAGCCTGGAACCCACAGAGATCCACCTCCTACCTCCTGGTCTTGGAACTAAAAGTGTGTGCCACCCACCACGGGCATGATCAGGCAGAGACCCAGGGAACTCAGAAACGTAGGCCTTCTGAGATGTGTATTTCTCGGGGAGATGAACGTGGTCCTCAAGAGAGGAGGGAAATACAGGCGGGGTTTCCTTTCAGCATTCACAAAGGTCTACCCAGCTGAGCCCCTTCCCACAAGGGCTTTGAAGTTGCTCACTGTGGTTGGACAGGTCACTCTGTGGTTACTGAGAGAAAGAAGCCTCTCCAGTTCTAAACAAGTTCCTGATGGCAAGAACAGGACAGAACTGGGGAGTCAACACTCTCCACTTCAGCCAGGCCTGGAGGGAGTGGTGGGAAACGGCCCCCCTCCCAGAGGAAGCTGGTAGTCCCTGGGGTGCCCACATATGCTTGCAGTCCCTTCCCTGACGTTCCAGCTACTGAAATCCTGTGCTCCTTTTATTCAGGACTTGTTGGACCGTCCACTCGACCATGACTGTCGCCTCCCCATCTTCTACAATACACACAAGGAACTCCACCTAAGCTTTGAGGGACAGACATCTGCCAGGTCGCTCACTTCTGTGCGGGAGAAGGGCAGGGGAGTGTTGTTAGTACAGCCACAGACACCGCCTCAGAGCTGCTCCAAGTAATTCCATGTTCAGTCTCTCCTTCGCTAGGATTTTAGGATAACGGCTTTAAATAATGCTTAACTCATTTATTTTTGAGACAGGGTCTCAGTATATAGACCAGGATGGTCTTGAACTCACAGAGATCCACCTGCCACTACCTGCTGGATTAAAGGCACATGCCTCCATACTCAGCAGGTTAATCTTAGCGTGAAGTTTTATTTTTTCTCTCGGTCTACAGAGAAAAGATAGAGACACCTAGTGGTAACTATAGAACATGAAATGTTCTAAAGCTGAAAAGATCCAGTCGTGGGCTTAGTCTTTGGCTATTGGAACAAGTGCCTCTCCAGGAGACAGGAAGTGCTGGTTAAAAGCAGGCTGGTCTCTGCTCTGTGACAGTGAATTTGAACTCTGCATCTAGGGGTGTACAAGGATAGCCATCAGGTGGGTGCTTTCAGACACAAAGTATAATGTAAAAAAAAAAAAAGGAGCCTGGCGGTGGTGGCGCAGGCCTTTAATCTCAGTGCTTGGGAGGCAGAGCCAGGTGGATCTCTGAGTTCGAGGCCAGCCTGGACTACAGTGTGAGTTCCAGGACAGGCACCAAAACTACACAGAGAAACCCTGTCTTGAAAAACCAAAA